TCATTCAGTTGACAGATCTAAAAATTTGGCCCGAAAAATAGGTTTTTTAGAAATTTGATCGCACAAAATTCGCACCTTCGGATGAGTATTACTCTGAAGCTGTGCATGCTACATACACAAAATACATATCAAATTACGCAGATTCGCGACTACAATAATCGTATAATCGATTTTTAGAAATTCCTGTTCGCGTATTAATGCTAGAACTAAAATTCAAAAAACACTCAAAATCGAGCTTCAAAATGTCAGCATCATTTAAAGGTAGATGCAGTTAAAATTTTGAAAAATGATACATAAGGGGCGTAGTCCCCATTTTGTTGGCTTCTAGTTTTATTTTGACACGAAGGCCGTGTAATGAGTGGCTTAGTCACAAATCGATAGAGAACATAAAAAAACTGGTTCGCCTCAACCTGTTTTTACACATTTTTTACATTAAAGTAGACACAGCTTCCACCAAAATAAAGTTTGGAGGTCAATATCATGAGCAGTTTGCAACGACAGATCAATTAACCCAAAACTATTCACTTTTTTTCATATACTTAAGTAGTTCCCGAGTTATAAAGGTGTGAACCTCCGCTTCAGCTATGTTAAAAACTTGGCAATATTGCCCATATATCTCCAATTTTCATGACAGTTACGGATTCCCCTTGTTTTCAATTATTTTTCATTTCTATACACATACATACGTAAATACGTTGCCATGTATGTGTGCCCATTATTATTTCATTTTCGCATTCTTCGTGTTTTTACTTTCAACTTCAACACCTTTAATTGTTGCTATAATAAGTTTAGTTCAGTTTCTCCTTTTCTATTGTGTCGTGAAGCGTAACAGGTAAAGGCGAAGAAGGGTGGAAAAGTTATTCAACCACATATTAGAGGCATAACATTGAGTGTGTCGGTGGTTGTGTTCACGACGATGATGATAATGATGTTGGTATTTTGGTTTGGTTTGTTGGCAGCTTTTTTTTCTAACCAACAATTATTGCTATTTATGCTTGAGATCATTTTCCCACACATTTAGTTTTTTTCTCACATAAGACTTTGAAGTGTTCAGACGTTATACACTCAGGGTAATTTATTAATAAAGGGGTATTAATAACATAACATAATTTTTGAGATATAAATAATAAAAGAAAAAAAAAAAATAAAATTGACAATTTAAGAATTATTTTCTTGAATTGTTAAATATTTTTTATGAGGCATACAATTTTTTTTTTACATTGTATGTCTAATTGAATAACCCTTTGTGCACAACTTTTGCACAAACCGTAAACAATTTCACGCATATATATATGAGAGAATAAATTTACTTAACCCAACTGACTACTATTTATTTAACAAACTTTTTTGGTTTTCTTAGTAAAATTGCCGACTCAAAAGAAAAAGAAAAATAACAATAAGTAAATTAATATTTAAATATTCGCATGGTGGGAAATTGACGCAAAAAAGGGTTGTTCGGTGGAATATATTTTACATGTTTCCCAGATATAAGCTTCTGTTCAAATAAATGGGATGTATGATGGACAGAGAGAACAGGAATAAATTCATGCTGATGGTATGCTAAACTGGGGTGTAGTAGTTCTTTAATGTAGCGGTAGATTTGTAGCCAATAAAATTTTATTTTAATTTTGGATATAAAAATAGCATGGACAGGCGAGAGACTTTGTAAATGAAAGTATAATTTCTAATTTCAAATATTTTTTTATTTTAAATGTGAATTAAGATTCGAAAACATCTACATTTATATTAGTAGTATAGCATTTTTTGTTGACTATGACTGCCCATAACCAAATTTACTCAACAATCTATTGTTACAACACACATCCATTTGCAAAATATCCGCAGAAAAAATATAAATTTCGTATTGACATTAAATCCCTGCATAATGAAATTTACGATGGACTGGCATTGATTTATGTTGACATGTGAAAATGTGTGTCAAATGAAAATTAAAACTGTTACAACCAACAAACAAACAAAAAATAACAATAGGAAATATACATTTTGTGGGAAATATACATTTTGTGTGTATTGTAGACAAATATGTATGTATATTTGATTGAATTTCAAAGGATATGAATTCAATTATTTTGTTTTAGTGCAGATTTATTTTGCTCTTATTTTATTATATTTTATTTATTTATATTTTTTTTCATTTTGTTATTTGTCTTTCAATTCTAACCACGAACTGAAATGTGTACAAATAAATTTATATAAAATTGCATTTGTTTTTAGGCGATGAAATATTTTGATTGCATTTTATGTACATAAATTAAATAATACAATAATACAAATTCAACACACTTTTGCATTTTTTGGCCTTTTTTAATGATTTGTGTTTTGTAACAGAATCGATGTGAATAGAGGTAAATTTACGCGAGTATTAGTTGCTGGCACCACCAAGGGCTTTTGTGTGCTATTGCATAAATGAAACAGTTCTCCAATTGATAAAATTGTGATAACTGAAAAGGAGAATTTTTGGCAAACAATGTCAAATAACGCCATTGCAGTGTGACATGTGCATAATCACGTTTTTCTAAAAAAAAAATCATGTCATCAATTGACAAAACTAACACGACACCGAGATTTTAAATATTGTCAACATCGATGTGAAATTAAAATTTTTTTTTAGATATGCAAAAACGATATGAAAAAAGTGTATGAAATAAATAATTCGTTACAAAAAGAGTTTGCTATATCCGTCGTTCGCTATAAGAGTAAAAATTTGTGTAAAAAATATTAAAATGCGAAAAAAGAAATCCATTATTTTTTCGCCAGGTGGATGTACTCATAGATTTCTCGTAAAGTATCGATCAACAATTTCAGATTTATGCTCGTTGGAAGGGTGACATTTCGCAGTAAAAAAATATTTTTCTGTTTATACCCTTCACCACACTGTGGTACAGGGTATTATGTCTTTGTGCATATGTTTGTAACAGGCAAAGGGAATCGAGATAGACCCAGGGTTCCTTTTGAAAATATGCATAGAATCACTTTCTAAGTCGATTTACGAATGTCCGTCTGTCCGTATGTTCATGTTAAATTGTAAACAAAGTACAGGTCGCATTTATTATTCGAATTGGATGAAATTTGGCACAGCTCATTCATTTGGCCCAAGGACGAGCCCTATTGAAATCGGTTCAGATTTAGATATAGCTCCCATATATATTTTCGTCCGATTTAAGGTAAATGGTGCACCAAAGTCCCTAAATAACTTTCGATTTGCACGAAATTTTGCACAGCGTACTGAATTAGGCCTAGAATGATGTGTGCCAAGAAAATCGGTCCAGATTTAGATATAGCTCCCATATATAGTTTCGATCGATTTAAGGTAAATGGTGCACTAAAGACCCTATATATCTGTCGATTTACACGAAATTTGGTGCAACGTACTGAATTGAGCCTAGAATGATGTCTGCCAAGTTTCGTGAAAATCGGTCCAGATTTAGATATAGCTCCCATATATAACTTCGTCCGATTTCACGTAAATGGTGCACCAAAGACCCTATATATCTTTTGTTTGGGCCAATCACCCAACTTACCACGGCTGGCCACCACGGATACTCCTTCCCTGGACAGCCGAGTCTACCTGCACCTTCTTCACCGTCAATTCGGTAGTCCACCGTAGGCGCGCACAAGCAGATTCCCCTGCGGGCTAGTGGGAGACGACAGACAATAATCGTTGTTCGCCGCACAGCGCTTATCCCCCAAAACAAAACACAGGCTGCTCGAGCCAACACTTTCGATCTCGAATTTCAATGTTTTATTTGTATAAAATTATAGAATAACAATTCAGTTTTTTCTGGGGCACTTATTTTAAAATATTCGTATTATGATTATTAGCTATTATTATTGTTAGCTAACACAAAACTTCAAAAGGAACGTTGGCTCGCGCACAAATGAACTTCTCGACGATAAGAAAAGGAATAATAAATTAAAAAACTTCCAACTTCTTGCAGGTGCCCAATTCCCTTTCTCTCTCTCTCCCCCCACACTCCGGCCTCTACCCGGTGTCACCACAAAACCGGTCTTTGTTCTGCTGTGTGTGTGTACATATGTCGCGAAGCGAGAGAGAAAGAGGGAGAACCAGAGCCCAACAAAACCAAAACAGCGATATTCTATGTTATCAATGTAAATAGACAAGTTCTATGATCTTTTGTGCGGAGAGCCAACGAAAAGCAAAAAGCAATCACATAAGCAAATGGAGAGCCAACGAAAAGCAAAAGGCAATCACATAAGCAAATGGAGAGCCAACGAAAAATAATAATGTAAACAAATAAGCAAATTCTATACTGCTTTGTGGGGGCAGACGACGAACAGGCAAGTGTCGCTTTGTAGCGTTTTTTCTCCACTTCTTGCGTGTTCATCCTCCCCCCCTTGGGACTAGTTCCCAACTTAAATAAAATTAAATGAAATATGGATGCCTCTGAAGGGCAATATAAGGATGAAAAAGGCAGGAAATGAATATCAATTGCTTAGGGCAAACTAATAAAATAATAATAATTCATTTAAAATGATTCCATCGTCCAACGATCCAGCCTTTGTTGTGGCACCAAATCAGGATGAGCCAAATGAGGTAGACGTATCAAGGTGCTGTCTTAAGCGCGGTTGAGGGGCACCTCCCCGAAAAACGCCCATCCAAATATAGTCTTCTGGGCATGTGGTAAATCAGGACGGAAGACCGGCAGCCCCATGAATATTCCTTCGGCGGCATTGTTGCCCAGAACTAGGTGGATGGGTCCAGGCCGAAACAGAGATTGGTCGGCCACTTCTGCCTTAGGGTACAGCCCTTTAAGACAGCGTAAATCGAGGGGACGGCGGGGAATTATGCTCGGAGCCCTTCGGTCTACTCTCAAGGTTGCCGTGTACGTAAGAACCCGGTTCCGGACCGACGTCATCACCACTCGAACCGATGCACCAAACTCCGGTCGATACTCCGGCAGAGGACCACCAAATCGGATGTAACTTCTAGTCCGTACTGGATTTATGTATGCCCGAACCTTAATGGGGACATCAATGATGCCGGGTATATGGACCAACATCTCCGCCGTCATTTTTAACCAGGCATGTGTATCCTCTGCAATGGGGTGCAGCATGGTGTGGTGGTGCTGTCGGCATCTTCTGCACCCCTCGAGCGATGGACAGTCTGTCGCCTGATGAGACATGCCCAAGCAGTTGGCACAATACTGCTGGACCATTACGCACACCGCCTTCTGGTTGGGCGTCATCTGCAGAAATGTGCGACATTTCCTCAAGCCGTGGCGGGCATGACAGAAGGGGCACATATACTCCTCGTTATAGGCCATCTGTAATAGAGAGCAGGAAGATAGTTAGGTGGGACAATTACCGAGACAACTGGGATGCGAGAGTTATGGGACAACATTGGCTGGACTAAGAACGTTTACGCCTAGTCTTGGCGAGGAAGCAAGACAAGCTTATGAACAGGGCGAGAGATAACCCCGTTCTGAGTCCGTAGATCCACGACCCGGACCCTACCATCAGACCCACGGTACAACCGTATGACGCGACCTAGCCGCCACTCATTTGAAGCCATAGAGTCATTGTGAAGCACAACCAAATCGTCCAACTGCAGATCGTTTTGAGACCTCTTCCACTTCGTCCTCTTATGGAGCTCCTTGAGGTACTCGGACTTCCAACGCCGGCAGAACTCCTGAGCCAACAACTTCAACCGCCGCCAGCGATTTTGCAATGACATCTTTTCGGACATCTCTGGCTCCGCCGGGGCCAACAACGGTCCTCCGATGAGGAAATGTCCCGGAGTTAGTGCACCGAGATCATCAATATTGTGGGACAAAGGGCTAAGAGGCCGCGAATTGAGGCAACTTTCGATACTGGCCAGTATCGTGGCAAACTCCTCGAATGTATGGCGGACTTGCCCCGACATCTTCTTCAGGTGGGCTTTACAGCTTTTTACCCCCGCCTCCCATAGCCCACCCATGTGAGGCGCTGCGGCGGGGATGAAGTGCCACTCCAACTTCTGGAAGCCGTACTTCACGACGGCTTCGTCTTTCAGCTCAGAGACAACCTTCCCAAAATTCGCTCGGAGCTCTCGATCGGCGCCAACAAAGTTCTTCCCATTATCTGAATAGATGTGGAGCGGGCACCCACGTCGGGAAACAAATCGGGACAACGCAGCTAGGAAAGCGGGAGTGGAAAGATCGCTTACAGGCTCAAGATGGATCGCCTTCGTGACGAAACATACAAATAGACAGATGTATCCTTTAGACAATCGACAGCCACGACCATTAAACGTTTTGATCTCGAATGGGCCAGCGAAATCGACCCCCGAGGTGGCAAATGGTCTGCTAAAGGTTGTCCTCTCAGGAGGCAGAGCCGCCATGAGCTGAGCTTGGCGCTTTTTCTGAGCCATAACGCACTTGACGCACTTGCGGTAGCGATTCTTCACGAGATTCTTCCCTCGGATGATCCAACACTCAAGCCTCGTCGTGGCTAGAGTCAACTGAATGCCGCCGTGATTGGTCAGCCGGTGGATGTGGTCCACATAGAGCTCTGCGAACCGGCTATTGTACGCCAGGATAATCGGATGTCGCTCGTCGTATGGCAGAGACAACGTGTTCTCCAGGCGCCCGTTTGCTCGGATAAGCTGGTGTCGGTCAAGGAACGGGTTCAGGGACAACAGAGGGCTACCCGAATCGAGTGGTAGCTTCTTGCTGAGACAATCGTAGTCTTGGGGGAAATGACTCCTCTGGGACATTGACATCAATCTGTACCGAGCGAAAACTATCTCTTCTGCTGACAAACGGACAGACTCAAAGCGGGCCAACTTCTTTGTAGACGGGTGCGTCCGGCGGAAAAAGCGGAACACATATGCTATAGCGTGAACCGCGGTCGACAAACGGGAAAACCTTCCCAACACTTCATCTGGGATGGCAGATTGAGCAAGATGGACCTTGACCAGTTTTGCCTCCAAGGTGGTTTCTGGTACCGATGTACACGTGGGCCATTCGTTCCTGTCCCGTATGAGCCAGTCTGGCCCATGCCACCACAAAACAGCCTCCTTCAGCTCAGAAGGAGTCCGCCCCCGGGTTGCCAAATCTGCCGGGTTATCATTCGTTGGCACATGACGCCAATTATCACCAATTTTTTCCTGGATCACAGCCACCCTATTGGCCACAAACGTCGTCCAACTATACGACGGTTTTTTGAGCCAAGACAAAACTATAGTCGAATCCGACCAGGCCGTCAAAGTGGCCTTAGGGAGATCCAACTGCGGGACAACTGAACCAACCAACTCTGCGAGAAGAAGAGCGCCGCAAAGCTCCAAGCGAGGCAACGAAGTTCTTTTCAATGGAGCAACCTTGGACTTAGCCACCAATAAGTTAGAGACAACAGAACCTTCACTTTCTACCCTTAGGTATAAAGCAGCCGCATACGCTGACTCTGATGAGTCACAAAAACCATGCAATTCAATCTTGCTATTTGGGAAATACTTCACCCAGCGGGGTATGCTAATCTGTCCTATTCCTTCAGAACTTGAGACAAAGGCTTTCCAATTTAGAAGAGAAAGGGGCTTCAAAGGATCGTCCCATCCAATATCGTCCAACCATAACTGCTGCATAAGAATCTTCGCAGTGACAATTATGGGCGAGAGCCATCCCAAAGGGTCAAAAATTTTGGCAATAATCGAAAGCACCTGTCTCTTGGTATAAAAACTTCTTTCTTCTATTTTGTCCATCACGAAATAGAAAGAATCCGTTGAAGCGTTCCAGCGAATGCCCAACGTTTTCGCCGAACTTTTGTCCCCTAGTTCCAAAAATTCATCATTTAGTAGATCAGAACGGGCCAAACCTTTCAAGATCTCCTTAGAATTCGACGCCCACTTTCTTAGTTCGAAGCCAGCGGAACTTAGAATATTAATCAATGAATTTCGAGCCTTTATCCCCTCCGGGACAGTATGTACGCCTACCAAAGCGTCATCCACATACATATTGTTTCGCAAAATTCTAGAGCCAACAGGGAAACGATATTCTTCATCATCCGCCAGCTTTAGAAGCGTCCTAAGGGCCAAATAAGGAGCGCAATTTACACCAAACGTCACCGTTTTTAGCTGGTAATCAGCAATTTCATGCTCTGGGGTAGGTCTAAACAATATGCGCTGATATCTCCAGTGATTCGGATTCACCCATATCTGACGATACATTTTGGTTATATCCGCATTGAAGACGTATTTATATACGCGCCAATTTAGGACCAACGAAATAATGTCCTTTTGCAACGTAGGGCCAACATACAACGCATCATTTAAACTCCTTCCTTCCACCGAAGGACAAGAGGCATTAAATACGACCCTCAGCTTCGTCGTTGCGCTTTCGGGCTTAAAAACGCCATGATGAGGCAAATAATAACAGTCCTTGTAATCGACTAAGCCCTGGACCTTCTCCATATGACCTAGAGCCAAATATTCCAGAATCACTTCATCGTAATCCCCTTTTCGCTCGGGATTTCGTGCCAATGACAATTCGTTACGCAAAAATTGCGACAGGGCCACATATCGACTAGATTTACTAGAGACAGAGAAAGGCAACTCAGTTCGGAATGGTAAATCCACTACATATCTTCCATCAGGGCCACGGATTGTAGTCGATCGGAATATTTCCTCACACTTACGATCATCATCTGAGACAACAGGCACTCTGGGAACTTCCTCTATCTCCCAGAACTTGGTCAACTCATCTTTGACATCAACCCTCGAACAATATGAAACCCTGACCCGTTGGCGATCGACCAAATTTGTTGCTGGGCCGGTCAAAATCCAGCCAAACACTGTTTCCTGAGCCAAGAGAGAGCCAAGAATATCCTTTTTAACGCCATTCAGCAAAATAATGGGATATACATTTCCTCCCAATAATACATCGACTGGGGCACTCTCATAAAATTTCGGATCCGCAAAATCCAAATCAGGCAGTTGATCCGACGAAATCTCATCAAACGGTTGAGTGGGAATGTCTCCAGTGATTTCTGGGACAACGAAGGCCTCCAAATCAAGAGCAAACGATGAATTTTTACACGAGCCAATCGTGATTGAAGCAACCTTTGAGCATTTAGTTAGATGCTCACCCCCTAAACCGGAAACATCCGCCGAGACCGAAGTAGTGGGCAGCTTCAGCTTCCTCTGAACCCTAGAGGACACAAAAGTGTCATCCGAACACGGGTCAACCAATGCGCGGACTTTGTATGAAGCCCCATCCTTCAAAATATCTATCCACGCTGTGGCAAGCATTGTTCTCTTTGAGACTGATGTGTGAAAATTTCGTCCATTTGCGGAAGTTGTCGGACTAGAGGCAACATTCGAACTCGACGAAGCGACATGAGACACATTGGGAGATTCATTCACACTCGGGCCATTATTTTGAGAACTTTTGTCCTTATGCAAAAGGACGTGGTGTCTTCCTTTACACCTGGGGCAACCCTGCGCCTTACACTCTGACGCTCTATGGCCATGAGTCAAACAATTTAAACATTTATTTTCCCTCTTAACCACGTTCAATCTACCCCTGAATTCCATGCTCAGGAATTTCGGGCAAGACTTCAAAGTATGTGTCCCTTTACACAAACTGCACTTCGTCTCGCTCACCTTCGTGTGATGGACTTTAAATTGTTTCGACTTTTCGAATTGGCTTACTTTCGGCCGAGACACTTGACTTGGCTGCGCGCCATTCGCCGAAGTTATGTCCGCCACACTCTCTAGGGCGTGAAACCTATCCGTTAGAAATTTGTTTAAATCTTCCCAGCGAGGCAACTCAGTTCTATTTGCTATGGACTGCTCCCATAGAGACAACGTAAGCTTGGGCATTCTAGAAGAGCACTGGTAGACGAAAATCGGATCCCACGACTTCACGTTAATTTTATAGAGCTCCAAGACCGTAATACAATTGGTCACGTCCCGCTGTAACTTTTTGAGACAACTAGCAGACTCTTGTCCACAATGGGCCAAATTAAAAAGTATCCTCAGCTGCGAATTTACTAAAATTCTTTTGTTCTCATACTGATTGCGTAGGTTATCCCAGGCAATCGTGAATCCTTCCGCCGTTAAGGGAATATGACGATTTATTTCCCTTGCTTCCCCCTTCGTCTTTTGGAAAAGATGGTAGAGCTTTTCCACCGGGCTAAGCTTTTTGTTGGTAGCGTAGATAGCCGTGAAAAGATCTCGGAAGCTGGGCCATGAAAGATAATCTCCCTCAAAAACTTCCGTATCACACGGAGGAACCACAACGGAGGACGACGGTCTTTGGCTGACAGTACTCGGGACAACTTTTACTTTCTCCATCCTCTCTCCCAGGAGACTCGTACATTTTATATAACTCTGATGAGCGGCCTTCTTCTTCGTCTTGAGAACTTCCTTATTTTTCTTGGCACATTCGGGCTCTTCCATGCACTTTTTATAAGCATGCCTCCATTCCGACCATATCCTCTGCAGCTCCGCCCTCTCGGCCTCCACAGCTGCCTCATTATAAATTGATGCATCCGACGCCACCAGATCCTCCTCAAAGGATGTGATTTCATCACATTGTAGCAAAAAATCCTCCATTGGCATCTTTAATTAGCCCGTCCGTGAGACAAAACGGAATAATCTAATCCCAAGAATCAACGTATTCACGAGACAACAATAGCAAGGGGATGATACCAAATTTCCGTAATGCAAAAAAGTACACACCAATATGCGACAAAAGTTATCTCAAGACCACTGTGCGACAACAGCTCTCCCAACAAACAGGCTAATCTTCAATTATAGAATGAGCCAACGAAATCGAATCCACAACATATGCCCAACGAGCCAAAGAGCCACAATTTCTGCCCAGGAAGCCAATAAACCCTTGAGCCAAAAGAACCAATGAGAATATCCCACGGAACGGAGCAACAATTTCTGCCCAGGGAGCCAATCAACCTTTGAGCCAAAAGACCAAACGAGAATATTAAACAATGTACGAAAATCTCGAATAATCGCACCAATATGCTTCGAAAAAGTCAACCTTTCAAAATGAGTCAATTCTCTCCCACACGAGTGGCCAATACTGACAAACAGTTCTCCAAACAAACTCAAAATATCGACCAAATCTCCCAGTATTTATTTCATTTATTCCCAATCGTCAAACAATTAATCGTTTTTGTTTGTCTCCCAATTGAGCAAAAATATTATACAAAAGAAATATCTCCAAAATTAATTCCTTTTATTTTGTCAACAGATTTTTATTTGAATCACCAAATTGAGCCAAATAATTCTATTCGTTGAAACAATATTCGTTGATTTCCTCTATTACCACTGTTTCAACTTCCAAAACATCAAATAGTCCAAATGACCAACTGTTGATCTATGATGTAAGGGAATGGTTTTACTTGTTAACATATGGCCGCCACAGTGTTTTCAACAAAAAACACCCCAGAGTTAAATTCAACGTTGAGACCCAGCGAGCCAATACAATATTTCTCCACAGAAACAAAGATTCATAAATTCCAACAAGAATTTGTTCACATCAACCACCTTATTCAATAGTGGAGATAGCCAAAAACAAATCAAAAAAGTCACAACGTTGCCTTTGCTTTGTATTCGTATTCCTTTTCTAACGAGCTATTTGCCTACAAGAGACAACAACAAGGCAAACACCATACACAATATGCAAGTGCTCGAAAAATTATCAACAAAGGCACTCAGCGCGAACAAGCATACAAGCGCGCCGAGTCAAACGTTAGGCCGTCACCACCGCAACAGAGGCAGCGCAATAAAAGCAGCAACGTCACCGCACACGCAGCGAGCCAACAACAACAATGTTCCCCAGAACATAAAATATCCAACGAGACAAATCAGAAGTGCAGGCAAACAAAAAAAAATTGCCGGTTTAGCACACAACAATAACAACAAGGAAGGGAGCCAAAAAACCGTATCAACGGTATCGTAGGTGTCAATCACCTATGCCAGTTGATGCACTATTTTTCAATCAACAACTTGCCAAGTTTCCCTCATAAAAAGGGTTCAACAGCCGGACCAACATTTAACATAATACACAGTTTTGCAATAAAAAATGTGTGTACTCACTGTTATCAATTTACGCCTTTTCTTCCCTGTTCACTTTCAACGGCTTCTAAGGACCAATGTGATATTCGATCCGGCTCGAAGGACCAATGTTTGGGCCAATCGCCCAACTTACTACGGCTGGCCACCACGGATACTCCTTCCCTGGACAGCCAAGTCTACCTGCACCTTCTTCACCTTCAATTCGATAGTCCACCGTAGGCGCGCACAAGCAGATTCCCCTGCGGGCTAGTGGGAGACGACAGACAGTAATCGTTGTTCGCCGCACAGCGCTTATCCCCCAAAACAAAACACAGGCTGCTCGAGCCAACACTTTCGATCTCGAATTTCACAAATAATTCAATGTTTTATTTGGATAAAATTATAGAAGAACAGTTCAGTTTTTTCTGGGGGCACTTATTTTAAAGTATTCGTATTATGACTACTAATGATTATTAGCTATTATTATTGTTAGCTATCACAAAACTTCAAAAAGGACGTTGGCTCGCGCACAAATGAACTTCTCGACAATAAGAAAACGAATAATAAATTAAAAAACTTCCAACTTCTTGCAGGTGCCCAATTCCCCTTCTCTCTCTCTCCCCACACTCCGGCCTCTACCCGGTGTCACCACAAAACCGGTCTTTGTTCTGCTGTGTGTGTGTGTACATATGTCGCGAAGCGAGAGAGAAAGAGGGAGAACCAGAGCCCAACAAAACCGAAACAGCGATATTCTATGTTATCAATGTAAATAGACAAGTTCTATGATCTTTTGTGCGGAGAGCCAACGAAAAGCAAAAGGCAATCACATAAGCAAATGGAGAGCCAACGAAAAGCAAAAGGCAATCACATAAGCAAATGGAGAGCCAACGAAAAATAATAATGTAAACAAATAAGCAAATTCTATACTGCTTTGTGGGGGCAGACGACGAACAGGCAAGTGTCGCTTTGTAGCGTTTTTTTCCACTTCTTGCGTGTTCAATAACTATATAATCGTATAACGGTAGCCCTACTATTAGATACTTTGAGAATTTCAATAATTTTTTTTTCACGTATTTTTCACTATGTTCATGGTCCTATCATAACATGAGTTTTCTCCTAGGAGCCCCATTCATTTTAGATATTTTGATTGTCAGCCTCTTGGTATAACAGATTCCCCAATAATATATTCACATATTCCATACGTTCATCTGACTTTTATAGCTAAAATGGTCATTGTAACGTTCTAACTAATCATATTATTACGGTATAGATAAATAATTCATTACCTATTACAAACTTATTAACTTTTTTGGAGCATTGTAATCGAATTTTTATCAAAAATTCTGTGTACCATTCAACAAGAGACTTTTTTGAACGATTACGAAAGTGTGCGGGATCCAACAAGAACGAAAATTTTTTTGTCAACATTGACTATATCTGGTCTAAGATTATGTATACGGTTTGCCAGTTCATACACTGCTCCAATGTTCTTTTCAGTGAACCCTGGCCACTATTAAATTCATTGATTCAGTTTTGCCAATGCTACAGAAAGATGCTTTATTGCCATAGAAAGATTTATGTTTATCAATGTCCTCTTGCCGTGATCATCCATGAACATTGTGAAAAATTATCGGGCAAATAGGTTCACTAGTTAATTTCAGTGTTCTTCATATATGTTCAATAAACATTGTTCAATTTTTTTATATATAAAAAATTCCAATATTAACCCTGATCCAAAAAAAGTTACATGTATGAGATCTTAAAAGAACACATAAATTAAAGTACACGAACACATATCTGTGTGCGAACTAAATAAAGTGAAGTGTAACCATTGTGTATTGGTGTGATGAAATCTCATGCACATTGCCAGGCTAAAGTTGCACAATAACGATGTTAACTACAAAACTGGATCATTTCTTCGGGGGTAGCAGAATTTATTCCTGCCGGGCTTGCTTGTGCGTCAAACCCGAATGACTACTTTAGAAATGCGTGTAAGGAATTTTTAAGTATGTATGCGAATGTAATGTCGTTAACAATGGTGTTGAAGTTCACAACTTCATGATTTAGTCGCTAAATGTGTGTGCATAAGTGTTTATATATAAATGCAATTCAGTTAATTTTTTAGTATTTTCTTATATATGCATATGAAGAATTATTTGGAAATCAATTATTGTTAAAATATAGCCAAAGAGAGGAATAGCCAATGAGAGGATATCTTTATAAATTATTTATTTTTTTAAAAAGTAAAAATTTCAGAAAAAACAAAAAAAAAATAATAATATAATTCTTTGATGCAGCCACTGAAGTATTTTCAATTTATAATTTCTTTAAATAACATTCATTATATTTAGATGATATTTCTTAAAACTCAGTACAAGGATTAAGATTTTTGACAACATGTTTTAGATTTGAATATGTACGGTATTACACAAAATTCGGATTAACCAAATATCAGATTGTTAACAGCTACATAATCATGGGTAAATTCCTTTCCCATATGATATTCTGTTTCGAGTTGAAAAAAAAACGATTAGAGCTATTAATCCTGTTCTAGTCAACATAGTTGTTTTATGATATTTTTTTATTTAATACCCTGTTAAAAACACATGTTATTCTATTGTAAAGATATCAACTGTTTTAAATAATGCCCACAATTTTCCCACTTTTTTATAAAGTTGTTAAAAATAGCAAATATCGTTATGCTCCAATTTTCTATAGCATTCAAGCATCACGCTGGTAATATATGTGAACGCTTTGCTTCGTTTCGTTTTTTTTTTTTTTTTTTTTATTTTTGCTGTCTTGTGCAGAACTTCTTTTTTTTTTGCCAAATAACAGCACGTCTTTAATGCATAAAATGTGCACAAAATATTGTCGTATACACTCTCCCTTGTTCTTCTCTTTTCGCTCGATTCTGTTATTACATATGCTCATGGACAATGAAAGGAAACAAAAAACGAATTTTTATAACAAAAAGAAAAAATTCCATGTCCTTCAAGACTATCCGTGTCAGCAAGGAAAGTGTGATAAAATTTAGAGAGATTTGTATGGCAACAAAATTATCTATTTAGCACATAATGATCAAACTTTTTTAATGCTTTGGGTGGAAGAGATGACAACAAGCACGATTGGACAAGATTATGTTGTGCCCAAAGTTTAAAATGTTGGTAATTTTTTGTTGTTCATTTTTTTTATGTAATGAAAGTGATTTTGTTTCCAAGGCTTCTTAGTGAAAAAAAAACTAATATTTGACTGATATGTAAAGTTAATTGCAATTACCATTGTTAAATATAATACTTAAATAGGATACCATACCTTGCCATTGCATATAATAATTTCCATACATAATATGCTCTAAATCACACTGTTTGCTTATGGACAAATATTACCTTTAAACCATATGCATATATTTTCTTCAGCAACAACAACAAATAATTGTGCACATTATCTACATCCAATTAAAAGTCCACAACTTACACTAAAAATGAGGACATACTATTTTTAACGTTTATGCTCATTACAATGAATGTGAAATTGTGTACAATGCT